ACTGCACCTGCGACCTGGCCACCCTTGAGCGTGTGTTGTTCCCGTCAGCTAATAAAACAACGGCGGCTTTCCGTAGGAACAGCGGGTGTAGTTTGCTAGGACAGAAAGCGGCTTCTTCGTTCTTCTTCGCAGCGCGAAACTTTTTCGCTGCTGGAACCCCAGGTCCAACTCTCTCGTCAGTGTTCGAGTGGGGTTTTTGCAGCGAAAATAGTTTCGTGCTACGAAAAGCTAAAGAGTCACTTTCTGTCGTAGCGAACCACACCCGCTGTCCCTACGGAAAGTCGCAGTTGTTTTATTAACCTGAACTGTGAACCTTCGAAAACAAAACGAAGTTTTAAGCTATTGTCAAAGACAGCTGTCATTGGATGGAGGTGCGCATCAAGGAGGCTGAGGCCGGTGGCACCGTGGCACAGAGGAAAACGACGGATGGTAGCTATGTCATGAAAGACGCGGTAGGTAGACGGATGTCGTATTAAGCTGTTTATATTTTTCTTATGGGACGGCTTGGGTATGGCTGCACGAAAGATGATGCACCTGCGTGCGCCATCGAGGGGAATGAAAAGTATCAGTTTCCTCCTGCATGGACTTCATATTCTTGCGGAAATAAAAAAAAACATTCGGAAATAAGATGAGAGGAAGCTAAGGCAATTGGAAGGGAGGAACGCGAATCGCTCAGAAATTGCCCACGCCAGGCAAATCAGTAGATATCAGGTTGCCGACTCACTCTTGCGTTGCCTGCGGGAAAATGCAATCCCTCATGAATTAGGTTGGGGTTTTTCTACGATCCTATTTTTGCAGTAAATTTTATGGGTTTTCCAAAGATTCTAACAGGTTCAGTAAATATAACATCAATTACAATTGACTGTTGTTCTGAAAATGAAACCGAAATGTGCTCCAACTGCATATCACAAAAAAACTGTACCACTGTTATGCAGGCGAGAACGGTATCATCAATATACCTTCTTCCCCTTGAAACGTAGAACCTCTCATTTCAAAGGCAATAGGTGCAAATCATTCCGTCTGGCATGCTTCGCAACATCAGGGTAAACCACGCTTCAGGAAACTACAGTGGGTATGTGTGCCTGTGAAGTAGTAATGTGAAACATAAAAACTAATGGCACAATTGACACCATCGAGCATCGGAAGGTAAAAAGTGGATCGTGGCTCATCACGAGTGAATCGTATTGTTTGTTCACTCGCGGTTCACTTTGTCCATGGTTTTGTGACGAGGGAGGGATCATTCGTGAGCGATTCTCGCATGAATTTAGTCTTGTGGCACACTACTTGTCGTGGAAAACTGGTGCTCTGCTTTATCCCTAATTACGAGGTATTGAAAGAAGACTTACTATCGTTCTTGATGAAGTGTGTTTCAGGTGGTTCTCGAATATCAAACACCATCTGGTGAAATGGTGAAGCTTAAAGCGCCCATTGAAGGAGTGGTGACGTTTGATCGTGCAGCGAAGAAAGGTGCAGAAATGGTGCAGGTTCGTGGGTCTTCCATAACAGACACACAGTATTTACTTAGTATGATTCTATCGATATAACTCTCACGTATCCTCTAAGGCATTAAACTTCTCATATTGTTTGTATTCTTTCAGGACATGCTAATCGCTCGTATCGAGCCCTGTCACCATGCTATTGTTATCAAAGATATGTGTGCGACGTGTGGGCGTGACCTCAGAGAGTGAGTTTCTTTTACAGACTTTTCACTTCACTCTCTTTTCAACTGCTTCATGTAGCGGATATTATTTGGTTAGTTATGTCCAACGGAAATGCACTACGTAATTACCTTTTCTTTTCCTTTCTAGAAAAGATGGTAGAGCTGGTCAACGAAAAGAGGCTGCCATAGCGAATGTCTCAATGATTCATCACGTGCCAGAGCTCATCGTTTCTGATGACGTTAGTCTTGGAAGAAGTACGTTTCTGCGGCACATCCTAGGGTCTACGTGTTTTCTGTTGCAGTTGGCGGAAGAACTTGGTTCAGCGGACTTGAAGAATGTCTTGAATGCGCGTAAATTGGTACTTCTGGTAGATCTTGATCAAACAATAATCCACACGACAAATCGTCCTTTCAAAGTTGATCCTGAAAAGGTAAGATTAAATGGAGCAGGTTGGGAAATCTGTTGGAAGCAGCATAACAATTTGTTTAGCATGGCGATATCCATACTTATAAGATGTTTGGCACGAAGTACCACACAAAGTTAAGGCCGTATACGCATGAGTTCCTGGAACACATGAGTGCTTTATACGAAATGCACATCGTAACCTATGGACAACGACAATATGCCCATAAAATTGCGGAGGTAAGGATACTTCAAAGCTTTGGTACTTCAAGTGATGCTACGTAGGTTCTCGAGAGTGCAGAGTTTATGAATGATGCCCGAAGGTGCGGCATCGAGTCCCGATATAAAAAGTATTGGCCCGTAATTCAAGCATCTATGCAAAAATATTTGTCCAGCGAAGCCTATCGAAAACAGCAGGTGACTAAATAGAACAGCAAAACATGTTTTTCAACCTCAGCAGGGAAAGGTTAGGTGAAAACTTTAGTGAGTCGTATACGTGATTAAATAAAGCTTGTGAGGCTGAGTGTTGAAGAAGGGCAAAAGGGTCCACCACTATAGAACTATGTGCCCTCAAGGAAGCGAAACGTGGTGCTTCCACGGGTAAACGAATCTTCTGTAGCTCCCTGGCAAGGTCTTCCTCTTCCCTTTCGACGCCTCGCTCCTCTATCCGCTCATTGATGGCCACCCCTGCTGCTGATCTTTCGCTGTCGGAACATAGCCGTTTCAGCAGAAGGGCAGCTCGTTCATGTTGGATGACGTCGGTACTGATGTGACTCGCCCAGAGCGGAAATCAACGGAGAGGAAAAGTCTCTCCTTGCAGGTTCTGAGCCTTTTCCCTTTAGCACGTCTTCTTTTCGAAAGCAGGAGTCCGTGAAGGGTTGTGTGTGCAGTTGAGGGAGGGAGGAGGGGTGGGAAACTTGAAATACGTGAAAAGCTGAAATCTGCGAGTTTCAGTATGTCGCTGAGAGGGCACGAATATGCCGCGGTGGTGAAAGTCCCTCCCCTCCCCCCCCCCCCCAATTTTTTTTCCTCACCACTGCATCATCGTTCATCAACTTTTTTAGCCTCACGCCCTCAAAGCAAAAGTGCTGACCAAAGAATTATGTATTGTTCTACTCATACCAGTATTTTTCATTCGCACCTTTTGGCCCCTAATTTTTGAGATAGGTTCTGAACAGCTTCTTGCGCCTAAAACTACACCTTTTTTTGTCCACGCTTTCCAAAGGAATTGCATAACCTTTTACTAAGATCAATCATTAGTGTGAAATTGACAGCTTTGTCGAACAATCGAGCGCACTGCATGGCGCAAGAGTAGATTGTTCTTCAGGAATACCTATCCGATGGTAAAAGCTAGTGTGTCGCTCAATATCCATATTCATTATGTTATATTGTTCAAGTCGTGCGATTGGTATTATCGTGGAATTCGGGTCTTTTCAAGTCACAGGAATCCTCGCCTAAGCGCTTCAACCCTGAATGAATATTTCCAGAATCTTGCAGAATGTACCGACCATCTATTTTTAATTTCAGATTCTTGATCCCAGCAAGGTATTATTCGCTCAACGAATCTTATCAAGGGACGAGCTGTTTTCGGCACAACACAAAACTCGAAATTTGAGGGCGCTATTTCCTTGTGGAGACCAACTGATTGCAATTATTGATGATCGCGCTGATGTGTGGCAATTTTCCGAGGCTCTCATTCAGGTGACTGTTGTCAAAATAGTTTCATAACAGGGCTTATCACTGATATATTTTCAAAAATATCTCGTGAGCTTTCTGAAGTAACAAATCGTGGTTGCAGGTGAAACCGTACAGGTTTTTCAAAGAGGTGGGCGATATAAATGCGCCTGCTGGAGGAACAAAAGAAGGCTTGCTTCCCTGCTGTTGACATAGGTATCAGAAGTTGGAATCCTTTCACTCAAAGAATGTAAACCTATTTCTCCCAGAGGATGATGCGGAGCACGACCGAACTTTGGAACACGTTGAAAGGATGCTGACCGATGTGCACGCCAATTTTTATCAACACTATGACAGAACGAAAGAGATCAGAGATGTCAAGGTGAATTTTTCGTTTCTGTTGCTCAGCAAAATCTCATGGTTTTTGTTAATATTTTAAACCAAATTTACTTCTCAAAGAAAATCTATTCCGGCTTTGTGTGAATGTTCCAGTAGTGAGAGCGTAACATTAATAGCCGGCCGGTTGCTTTCAATATGACTTTTTCAAGGCTGGGCCGATACACGCTACCCTTTAGGAGAACAATGAAATGAAGCAAAAAATAGTGACACCGCATGATTCGGCACCGTCAAAGCGCAGAAATAAAAAAAATATATGATGCAGCCGAGCCGTGAATGTCGCTTGCGGAAAACTTGAGTAGCTATTCATCCCGAAGCCCCCCTCCTTTTTTCAAGCTTAGGTTTAAGCTAATGACATTCCCTCATTGCAGGTCGTGATAAGTTACATCAAGAAGCAGGTGTTACGCGATCTTGTTATTGTGCTATCGGGCGTGGTTCCACTTGGAATGAAAATTGAGCATTCTGAGGCGTATCGACTCTGCGTTCAGTTTGGGGCTACGGTTGGTTGCACAAAAGATACTAAATGAATCAAGTAATGGCCGTACGGGTTTAGGTTGCTGACCAAGTGACCGAGCAGACGACACATCTAATTGCAGTGCGATGGGGCACAACGTGAGTTTCATCAGAATTCGAATTCGAGCCTCACTTGAGATGATTGTAGCGCATTCTCTCCCACATGACTTCTCTGCATCAGAAGAAAGCCTGGTTTCTTACGACCTTGGCCTGATTGCTATGCTTCTTTGTTTGGGTTGAATTGGCGGCAATTTTGTTCCACTAGGTGAAACACTTGCACATTCCAGCACCTCTGGAAAGTTTCCTCCTCGGAGAAGTAGTGTCGTCCGTACTAGTTCTTTTTTTATTTCTTTATAAATTGAGCAGGTTCTTTTAGGTCTTTGTCCATTACCTCAGCGTACGATTGCTGTTCAGTGCTTTGAACTTTGATTTGTTGGAGAGTACAGAGCACCCTTTTACAGGAAGGTCATGGCCGCATGCAAATTAGGCATTCCAATCGTGACACCTCTCTGGCTATATGCATGTGTTGAAAAACTACTAAAGGTATTTTTCATCTATGTTTTCAAATAATGTAGCTCAGTCGTACATTCTACCTGATTGAGATTTATGTGCAGCAGGCAGACTTCGCTCCAGAAACTGCATTAGCGTTCCTTCGTTACTAGTGGGCTTTTGCAGCACTGAATTGCACCGCTTGAATTTTGCGTTAAAGTTCAGCTTTCCCGTACATCCATCAATTTTTTTATCCACTTCTCCCTAAAATTAAAATGAGCTGAAACCAGAAAAATAAAAATAATTTTTTTGAGGCTGATGAAAAAGAGTTCGAACTTACAAAGGACTCCAAACCTCCTGAGGGTCGACCGTTAGGTGGAAGAATCATACCAGAGTTAACGAGTATCGATGCTATGAAAAAAGAAACAATAGCTGAAATGGAACATGAGGTTTGGTTTCAGAAATTCTGGCCTTTGGTATGAAAAGTTTCAGAGTATCATATTGCTGTTCTTTCAAGGTGGATGAGGTCTTATCTGAAGGCGATGATTCGGATGAAGAGGGTGAAGAAATGCTAAAAAGGAGGCTTAATGGCGGGGATGGAAGTGGAGACGAAGATGACGAGGTTGAGAAAGAGCTAGCCATGAAGCGTGCCCGATGGGAACGAGAGAGCAATTTCGAAGCGCCCGAGGAAGATTCTGAAGAGGGTGGCGATCCCAATGAGGATGATAATTTCTTTGAGGCGGACCTCGAAAAAACTGGAAATGGTGACGGCGGAGAAGATGAGGCTCAAGTTGCGGATGATGAAGAGACGCGAGACATTCAATATGATGATGACGATGAAGAGATTGAAGACATGGCGGCTCTGATAGAGCGGCAAGTTTCGCATGAAAGCTAATAGAATACCTGGAAACGAGTTATTCGCTGTTTATAAGGGTTTTAATTTTCATTATCGTTGGCAGTGCATTGGTCCATTTCCAAAAAAAAAACGCCGGAAAAAAAGGTTTGAGGAGGCCACTAACCACAGAATTGTTGAATGACCATAGTTTTGGTTGGGGGTTGAAGGATTTCTCGTATTTTTTTCTATTATGTTTTTTCCTCCTCACCTTTTAACCTGGGCAGTTTACCGGATCATTCGCGTTTATCTCTATACCCCATTCAGTCGCCGCAAAGAGTCGTTATGTTTTAGAAGCAAGAAGGGCTCGAAATGAGAGGTTTTTTTTATGAAAGATATGTGACATTTGGTAAATGTTCCTAGCTATGTAGTTTCCTTTGAGTCATCAGTAGTATGGAGCTGCTGACTGGAACATGACGAGTCCGACGCGACGCACATTCACCCGTTTGCTAGTTCACGTTTGCTGTAGGTTTTTAAATATATGGCTATAATCTGGAAAACATTAGATGGTTACACATCGAAGGCCCTATTGGAGTATTTCAAAAACATTTTCGACTTGCTGGGTGTTTTATGATTTCTCTATATTGGAGGGGCCTAACGGTTTTGGTGCACTTTTTTGTGCACTAGGATAATGCCTTAAAATAGCAAAGGTAAAGGCTAAGCCGTGGTCGAGGCAATTTTCTGAAGCACGTTGTCATGAAGTGCGAATTGTCTGTAAGTCGATGCAACTGTATATAATAACTAACGTGAGCAAACAATTATGGCCATATTTTTCACATGATATGAGATTCCTGGCTGTCGGTAAAGTTCTTTTTGCTTCTTTTTCATTATCGTTTTTTTTGTTGTTTGTTATTGTCTGAAAACTTGATCAGCGGCCGGGAAACTGAAACCGAGCGGACTCGAAAAATCAGTTTTTTTTTCTCTGGTACTTATTTAGTGTGAAAGCTTTGTTTTTGTAGCTGCTGATGAAGTTTTCCAGAAGTCACGCAGTACCATTCAATGAGAATTTATCACTTTTGCATTTAAACACCTCTTTTTTGGTCCTCATTTTGCTCAGATGTTCACTTATTGTGCCCGTCCATATGAGTGACTGGTTTCATGATTTGATGCTTTTGATTCGCCGTTTCCTCAGATGTGCCGCATATCAAAACGTTTATCAAAAGTTGTTCATCCTCTATTGTTTTTCTTTTGCTTAATTTTTTGATTCTTTCGGATATCGCTGCATGAGAAATCTCCTCGCGTAACTTTTTCGTTTTTGTCTTGTCACAATGGTGGCATCGCCAAACCAAATCGTGTCAAATGCCTCAGCGCGACGCTATGCGTCAGCACGAACGTTGTCGTTCTCTCAGCGTATCGGGTCACGTTATTCGATACTCATTTTCGTGTTTATTATATATCCGGTTATATTCTTGATTGATTCATGTTGGTCATGTAAATAAAGAGTTTTGTGTGAAATTTCGAGCGATTATCGACATAATTCCTTGAAGAGGATGCCAGTGCATTTATGATTGTGTGAAAAACGGAGTTTTAAATTCGTTTTCTGATTCTGATGTGTTTTCACGACATTGCGTGCGTCACGATGATTACGTTGCGGCGCACATCGCCACAACCAGCTGAGCGATGCTTGTTCGCTCGTCCAGTGGCTATCACATTGGTGACAGCTTACGAAGCAGTTTAAGCGCTCAGCTGGCTGCACGTTATCACTTTACCTTGTCAACTGTTTGCGATCCTGTCTGCTATTCTGATCTTTTGAGTTTTTTTTTTCAAATTTTAGAATTCAGTGCCATGGATTTCGACAGCAACGATGGCACTATCATAAGAAAGCTGCAAGAAAATATTGAAGAATTGGGGCAGCAAGGTGGGAGAAGCAGTTTTCTGGTTTTCTTTCTTTGAACTACGTTTTTGGTGGGCTTTCACTTGCTGTTTTTATTTTCAGTTCTCTTATCACTGTCGAAAATTTGATGATTTATAATGATTTCATAATAATTTAATAAATTAAATTGATTGGAAATTTGATAGAGGTAGGGAGAGACTTCTCACTAACTTGAACGGTGGCACGCTCTCAGCGAATTCGCTTATTTTCGTATTGGGGTTAGGTGGTAATGCTAGTTCCAGTCAGACGTGTGGTCACGGCAATGCTAAACGTTGGAACTTGTTACATTTTGTATATGGACTGATTTTTTATGTGATTTGTGAGGGATTTTGATATAGGGTAAAACAGAGGAATCATCTATGCGAAGTTTATGGACCATATTGATCTTTTTGTATTTCACTTTGTCATTTTTGTGGGAGATGTGTGAACGAACAGAAGAATGCGCAAAAATTTCAGTGCAACACTTGGATTCGTTCATCAGCAGATTGACAGAAAGTGAGCAACATCGCGAACAATTCAATGAGGTTGTTTTTTTCTATTATTGTGTTGATGTCACTCGAGTCCCTCGGGCAAGTTATGTTCGAGTCAGAGTTCTTAAGACAAATCTGGTACTACCTCACCCCTAGAGGAGGAGGGCTAGGACATTGTTGTAGTATGCGGGATTAATCTGGGGGGTGCCTACCTGAGCAATGCTACCAACCAATACATTACTTCCACCCAAATCGCATATAATACGGAAACGCATTGGCACAAAGCAACGGGAAGAAACGAAACTCGAAGTGAACGTACGTACAGTCATGTGAATCAAGGTTCTTTTCCTGCAAGGTTTTACTGGTTCTTAAACAACAAATTTTTCAGTTGGCTCACAAAGCCCAGAAATTGTCGAAAGAGACAAATCAGTTGATGAAGCAGCTTGTTCAGCTCAGCAATAATAACGTGAGTGCATCTCAGTTATTTTTTCTTTCGGTATGGTATCGATCATGATTTCCATCTGGTTTTGTAAGCAATAGATGAGTTTTTAGAACCTTTCTCTGCTTTCATTCATGTGTTTCAGCGCACTTTACGAATTCATCGAGAACGTCTACAGAATGAATATATAGGAGTCTTGAATCGGCTACAAGGCTGCCAACGTCGAGCTGCCCAAACAGAGAAAGCTAGTATGCGTCAGGTAGGATTCTTGGGAATTTTCACAAACGAGCAGTTCTTTCCTCGCTAAGCGTACCTCCAGGAACCGTTTCAAACGCTTCAATCAGGTAGTGGTTTTTCAGAATTTCCGATATATTTCCTTCTAGCAAACACAGCCAGCTATGCGTCTTTCTAAAGGCGGTCCTGTTACGCTGCTATACGTCAAAACATGTATCTGTCTGCGTGTCTACTACTCAAAAGTTGTTTCAGTAGCATGATACTTTAGGAAATGTCGCAATAAACTTTACCATAATTGGTAACAAGTTCTAGCATACCTGATTCGAAGCTTGTTATTTTTTTGTGGAATCGTCTTTTGGAACCTGTTTTGCCTGAAAAAAGGAAGGGCTGCCGTATTTCTTTGCCATAACTGTGTCATACTTTCCTAGCTAAACTTTCTAACTTCTCATCTAATAGCTCAATCTTCTCATACTTTTTTTGCTTTTTTTCCCCTTTCTT